TCTCTTTCGGTGGCGCATGCGAACGCAGCCACTGGGGCCTTCGGTGGAACCACATGCGAACGCAGCCACTGGGGCCGTCGGTGGAGCTCTCTATGGGGCCACGAGGCGTGTGGGATGTGTACCGACATTGGGGTGGAACCGCATGCGAACGCAGCCACTGGGGCCTTCGGTGGAATTCCCTGTGGGGCCACGAAACGTGTGAAGGGTGTGCCGACATGGGGGCGGAACCACATGCGAACGCAGCCACTGGGGCCTTCGGTGGAGCTCCCTATGGGGCCAGTAACGTGTGAGGGGTGTGCCGACATAAGGGGGCGGAACCGCATGCGAGCGCTGCCGCTGGGGCCTTCGGCGGAGCTCCCTACGGGGCCACGAAACGTGTGAGAGGTGTGCCGAAATGGGGGCGGAACCGCATGCGGGCGCTGCCGCTGGGGCATTCGGTGGTGCTCCCTATGGGGCCACGAAACGTGTGAGGGGTCTGCCGACATGGGGTTCGACCGCATGCGGGCGCTGCCACTGGGGCCTTCGGTGGAGCTCCCTACGGGGCCACGAAACGTGAGGGGCGTGCCGAAATGGGGGTGGAACCGCATGCGGGCGCAGCCACTGGGGCATTCAGTGGAGCTGTGGAGCTCCCCATGGGGCCACGAATCGTGTGACGGGTGTGCGACATGGAGGTGGAACCGCACGCGGGCGCTGCCATTGGGGCCTTCGGTGGAGCTCCCTATGGGGCCACGAAAAGTCTGAGATGTGTGCCGAAAGCGGCGTCGATGATGGTGACGATAACGGCGATGATGATGGTGATGATGACGACGATGCTGATGATGGGGACGACGATGATGATGATGATGACGACGACGACGATGATGATGACGACGATGATGATAATGACGATAAGGATGACGATGATGATAATGACGACGATTACGATGATGACGATGATGATGGTGATGATGATGGTGATCCCCTCAACTACGGGCATCGGTGATCCTTGCCAGCAGGGCCCGCAGCGCGGTCGAGCGCTTGGCGGGCTCTTGCGCCCACGGTTCTCCGAGCGGCGGGGGCAGAGACGGCGGCAGCAGAACGAATTTGATTGAAAGCGGCGAGCGTAAGATCATGGAAGACAGCAACGGACAGGAGACAATCAATAACGGGCACATGCGACCGAGACAGGACAACGCGAGATTCGGCAGCGAGCTCAGACCAGTTAGGAGGCAAAGAACGAAGATGAGCGGCAGCGGCAGCGGCAACGATGGGACAGATCATACAGCGGCGGATGTCATCTCCGCCAGCTGCAAAGCAACCCCCACGGCACGTTTGGCAACCCAGGCGGAAGCGACGAGACGTGCACCATGCGTTACACATACTGCGAAGCACAGCACAAGTGATGAAAGTGGGCAGGCGTTGACTGATCACGCGAAGCCGACTCGTGCACAAATCGGCGTCATGACGGGTCGCTTCGGGGAGCAGGTGGGGGAGACGAAAGAAGAGGAGCGGGGGAAACGGGGAAGGAGGGCAGGAGCGAGACAGGAAACGAGTGACCAGACGCTGGATATGTATCTTCTTGGGGTCGGGGATCGAATAACTAAACTGGGGCATAGCACGGATATCATTATAGTTGTTATACATATGAGCGAAAAACCGAATTTATAAAAACAGGGCGGTGTTCAAATGCGATCAAATGCTCGGAGCCGTCGCGGATATCTTCGAGCTTCTCCACCGAATGACGGAACATCGCGGACTGCTGGGCACATCTGAACATCGCAGCACGACAATCAGTTTCCAGACGACGTAACGAGGGTAACCCAATGATCTCGGAGCTCTCGAGCATCTGACTCGCGATGGCGAATCGAGGGGCCGCCGCCAGTACCTGCACCCCTTCTCTCCCGACCTCGAAAACGGCTGGCACGGGCGCGGAGCACTGCTGCACATGGCTCAGCACAGCATGACCGATGATATCGTAGGTAGCAATCTGTCGCACGAGACCCAAGGAGAGCGACCGAATATGATGGCAGCGACTCCGCAGGTTTTCCGACGGAGCACTCCAGGAAATGATGCGCGAGTCGGCACCAACGAAGATCCCCGAGAACAGCCCGTGGTCTTGGATTTCGGAATGCTCCACGTGCATCCCGAGGTCCCGAAACTTTCCTGTCATCTCCGAAGCCGAGACGGGCCCCAGAAACACCAGGACACACTTCTTCAGAATCAGAACGAGCCCACTAGACTTGCCGATCTGCACAAATGACCTGAGCGCCCGCAGCAGCGTCTGATATAAACTAGCCGCTGCGGGGCCAGCGCCATCGGCGCACGCAGACAAGCGCGCATCTTGGCGGAGGAGAGGGCGACGCAAGCAACGAAGCAGAGGGTCGGCAACTACGGCGAAAACGACCCCCGAGAGCGGGCGCCCTTTTTTTCAAATCCCGCGGCCAATGATGCACCCGACGTAGGTGCTGCCCCCGAGTCTAACATTAGCGCAGAGGTCGCGGCAGTGAGCATCGGCTGCATCGCGGAGAGGCTGAGGAACCTGAGCAACTCGAAGTACGCGCTTTACGAAGCGGTGTGCCAAGCTGGGGAACGCAGCCTTTAACTCGAAAAGGGCGCACCCCGCATTCTTGCAAGCGGAAGCCGCGTACCATAAAGTATATTCAGTACTTCGAGAGATCATGTTATCGACGAGGGAATGCCCTTTTACGAAGCCACGTTGAAAGCTAGCCACTGCAACCTGCGCGTGCCCTGAAGGGTTGGGAGACAGCGGCGGCGACGAACTTATTGCTCGTGCCCGAGACTGCAACCGTCTCGCGTCGGACGGCTGCTTGAAAACCGCAGCATCATTGGTGGGCAGGTCGCCCTTCGGCAGCAGCACGGCACCGGAGCGGTTAAAGTCGGGGGCGACGTGGCCCCGAAACAGCACGGCCTGGCACGTTGAGTACAAGGCTTCAACTGCGATGTCATCTCCAAACCTCGGTGGCCTCAGGCTCCCTCAGCATCAAATCTAAGTTGCCATGGGGGAACTTACCCAAAAGCTCATGATAACCCTCGAGGCCCAACCACCTGCGGGACTCAACGTCCACATACTTACCTATACCCCGTAAAAGCACAAGCCGCACGACGAAGGAGCGGAACGCCCCCTCTCCCCATCGCCCTGGGCCCAGCAAACATCCACGCAATCCCCTTGGGACTGTTTTCGCATTCGTCCTTCACCCCCCCCCGACACCCCAAATGGAATATTTCGCCATGGCAAGTCGGAACGAGATGCGGCCTGCGTTCTTCTGCGAGCTCATTCACAGAGAAAGGGAACGACGGATGCTTGCAAGTCCACTCTGGTAGCCTCCCCGACATGGAGTAGCCGAGCGAAGACTGGCACATGGTCGCTAGCGAACATCAAACCTGCGACCTGCTGCAAGATACTGGAGTGGGGCGCGCGATCTAAGAGCTCGGAAGTGTACATGTTAGTGTAACTGCGGTCCAACATGGTCGTAGATTCAAGCATGTTAAGATGCGTAATTTGATGCGTGCGGTGCATGTGGTCAGCCCCAGCGAACTGCATGCAGAAGTCACTGAAGCATTCTCTGGGCATGTGCACGCGAGAGTCACCAGCTGCACTAAAGTTGAAATCGCCTCCAAACCAACATGCAGAGGTAGAGCGGGACAAGATGCGGGAAGCAATAGCACGCAGTGTCTGCTTTTTGGCTGCCAGGGAGAGCTTGGGAAAGAGATGCACATTGACTGCCTGAAGGCCTCCATGACCACCCAGCGCACTCAGCATGATGATCCTTCTCTCCTCACTAATGTCTGGCACGATGGTCTGGAACTTGCACGAGAGCTTTCCTGGCCGCTACCACGACTCCCCCGGCCGCGTGATCAGCACAGAACGACCCCCAGAAACTAAAAGCCTGCTGCTCCTTCCTAAAATATTGCGAATCAGCCTCTGACCCTTGGGCCTCATGGATTAACGCAAAAACATGGCGACCCAGTAGGGTCTTTGAAATTTTAAATCGAGCAAGCTGCTTCCAATGTTTCCCGAAGACGCTGCCGAACAGACCAGCAGCAGTCCAACTCGCTATACCGAATTTCTCTTGCGGCAAAAACGGGCACGAGGGAGGAGCGCGAGGGGGAGCAGAGGGAGATGGAGGACCGGGAGGATCATCACGCTCACCTGCCTGCTGTCCCACAGCAGACTCAGAAGACCTCTGTGGAGGGAGAGGAAGCTGTCAAAATATGTTCTGCATGAGGCCAGCGATCTGCTCGTCTACAAAAACCAAGCCAGCATAAGTTCGGGCGATTGGGAACAACCTCCTCTCCGCTCGTGGTGTTCTTCACCCCGAACAGCTCGCATGCGCGCGCTTCAGCTTCTCCTCCGTTCTTCGCGAACAGCACGCCGAGATGGGGGTTGACGCCAAGGGCACCGCCGTGGAACCTGCCGCCAGCCTCTAAGCAAGCCTTGGTGGGCTCCCAGAGCGGGGAGAGCTGCTTATTATTCTTCTTATGTTTCTTCGTCTTCTTCTCGCGGATGTGGGGTGGTTGGTCACGCCGAATCCTCAACGTGTGAATATGATTGCCCGTACGATCCAGCCAAGTAGTAGCTCACCCTGACCACATCGTGGAGACCTGTGTGCACGCGGCATTGTCGGTGAACACCAACGAGTAGCTCATGGCCAGGCGTGTGCAATAATGGTGGTGTTTCGAGCATCCTGGCCGAGAGATTCCTTCCTCAGCTCGGCATGCGCTACGAGGGCGGACCGCAGCATCTTGTATGGGAAACCGCCGATGTGGAGCCTGAGCGGGCCACCTGTCTCCTGAAACGAGCCTCCGCCCGTCGAAGAAGGTGCAGTGGTAGTGGCGGAACCCGAACTGCGAGCACTGCCATCGTCGTCCATAGTGCGCCTGGGCTTCTTAACCTCCTCCATGCACTCCTTGCATTTTGCCTCAAAATTTCGGTCAATGTGGTTCAACGACTCTTTGACTTGCGGCACCCAGTTGTTGAGGTCCTGCACTTGTCGGTGATCGCAGCACGCTCGTGAGCCTCGTCTTGGCCCCTCGCAATGCCACCGATCATCTCCTTCGGCTCCGCGAGCATAGCGGAAGCCTCTCCTACCATGTCTGCGAGGTGGGCTGTTGCAAAATGCGAAACCGGAAAAGACAGAAGGAAACGGAAGCCTGACCTTGGAGACTTGGGCCTCCCTGTCGCTGCAACACGGCTCTAGACCCCAGGGCAGGTTAGAACCATGAGCCAAAATGGCTACGGAGGACGATGATGATGATGATGATGATGATGATGATGATGATGATGATGATGCTGATGATGATGACGACGACGACGACGATGATGATGATGATGCTGATGATGATGATGATGATGATGATGATGATGATGATGATGATGATGGTGATAGGAAGAGGAGGAGGAGGAGGAGGAGGAGGAGGAAGGGGGAGGAGGGAGGGGGAGGAGGAGGAGGAGGAGGAGGAGGAGGAGGAGGAGGAGGAGGAGGAGGAGGAGGAGGAGGAGGAGGAGAGGAGGAGGAGGAGGAGGAGGGGAGGAGGAGGAGGAACGCGGGAGGAGGGAACGCGGGGCGCTGTCTCTTCAAAACGAGGACCCCACACCACCGGATGGCTGGGAGAACATCTCCGGCCTTCTTCGGCCCCTGCGTGCCCTCGCTGGGCCCTGGGACCCCGGCCCCCCTTCCTCCGGGTAACCCCCCCCAACCATCTGGCGTCGTCAGCGCTCTGCGTCAGCTCCCGCTCCCTGCCCTCCTCTCTTTTTTCCATAGGCTCCAGCACCAAGGTTCCGAGGCCGCTCCCAGCCCCTCTTTGCGTTTTTGCCCTCCTCCCCCCGGTTCCTGGCCGGGGCGGCGGGGCCGGACGGGTGGTCAGCGGACTCGGAGGCCTCTTGGGCCGTCTCGAGGCCATCTTGGGTGCCTCTGTGGCCGGTCTCGGATGCCGGAAGCCCGGCACGGCGAGAACGACTCCGGCTGACAAGAAAGCCGCTCCCGGGAGATGGGCCGAGACATCCGGAGGTCCACGCATTGGGAAGATGAAGGCACCGCATGTCTGGGAGCGGGTCCTGTCCGATGGAGGCTCGAGGATCAAAAGGTTCGGGCATTGCTCCTTGCTTCTGGGCCTCCAAGAAGCTCCTCGTAGCCATGGCCTGATCCGCCTCAGAAGTCTAATCAGAGCGCACCTCTTGAGGGGTCTGGGGGGCGAGGGTCGCCATGAAGGAAAGGCGTCCCGGAAAAAAGGGGGTCCCAGATTTGTTCCCCGTTATCGGGGCTCCTGGAGATAAGAAAATCAGGAGGCAGCAGCAGCCGCAGGCGCATGCGGCTAGGGAGTCTGTATCTGGTGGCGGGATCGCCTACGGGGGGGCGTATGGGAATTGTGGATCCCGGTTCAGATGGGACCGAAGACGACGTTCTGCACGCCCGTGGACCCACATCGAGTGCATCAGCTGCCATGGGAGCCTAACACTGTCTCTAGACACACCGGATAGGGGCAGCAGACTCCCGAAGAGGATACCCTCATCAAGCTACCGTACACTTGCAAAATTCGACGTCGTCGGCTCCGCCCTTGCAGAGGGAAGACCAAAAACATCCCGAAAGCACACTCGCCAGAGCAACTCGCCTGTCGTGCGAGAGACACGGCTCGGGGAACAGGCTGTGCCTCCACATGACCTGCCTGCCTCTCTCGACCCCCTGGCTTCCTCGGCTCTCCTGCGGCTTCCGCCGGCCTCGAGGCTCTCGATCTGCTCTCGGAGCTGCTTCTCCACTGCGGCCCCGCTGCCTGCGCAGTGCGATCGATGGGCGCCAGGTCGAACAAGAAAGTGCGCGGAATCAAAGCTAGAAGGCCTCCGTTCCCGAAGGGAATATCGAAGGACAGAGGCGGAACAAGGTCGAGAAGCAGACGCAATGCCATGCGGCGAACCCGAAGTTGGGGCACGCAGCTGTTGCTTGTTCAGAGCTTGGAACAGCACGAGTGATGTGCGAAAGATCCTGAGCATTATCACACATCTTAGCGAAGCGCAAAAAGTCGGCACAGGCACGAAGATCTGAGACCAGGGAGTACAGTCACCAAGACAACCGATCAGTGCGCCCAGAGTATAATTCGTGGCAGGACCCCAGATGGGCTGGCCCCGATCCTCTGGCCTTCTGGGCCCTACCTGTACCCCCTGCCCAAGAGGCCTCCAAGATCGCCCTAAGAGGCCTGAGAGGCCTCCGACAGGGCCCCAAGACGGCCCAAGAGGGTTCCAAGACGGCCCAAGAGGCCTCCAAGACGGCCCAAGAGGACCCCAAGAACGCTCTGAGAGAAGCCCCAGAGGGGGAACACGAAACAATATTTCGAGCCCTCGGCCCTAAGAAGCCCCCAGGAGGCGCCAAGAGGCCCCTTTGAAGCCCCAGGAGGCCCCCAAAAGGCCCTCGAGATAGCCCCCAGACGCCCCACGAGGCTTTCAAACGCACTCCCAAGAGGGCCCCAAGAGGCAAAATTCACTGCTTTTCCTTAGGTTTTGGGGAGATTTTGGCGTCTCCACCTTTTCGGCATTGCTTCCAAGACGGCCCAAGAGGCCTCCAAGACGGCCCAAGAGGGCCCCAAGAACGCTCTAAGAGAATCCCCAGAGGGGGAACACGAAACAATATTTCGAGCCCTCGGCCCTAAGAAGCCCCCAGGAGGCGCCAAGAGGCCCCTTTGAAGCCCCAGGAGGCCCCCAAAAGGCCCTCACGAGGCCCCCAAGAAGCTCCCAAGCGGCTCCCAAGCGGCTCCCAGAAGCCCCAAGATGCTCCCAAATGCCTCCAAAGGAGCTCCAAGAAACCCCAAAGAGGCTCCAACAGAAACCCAAGAGGCCCCCAAGAAACCCCCAACGAGGACCCCAAAAGGCCCTCAAAAGCCCAAACGCCAGCGAGGGCACAATACGGGCCGGCGGAATGAGCGAGGCGACTAAATTCGAGGCGGGACCCCAGATGGGCTGGCCCCGATCCTCTGGCCTTCTGGGCCCTACCTGTACCCCCTGCTACCGCCCCCAACAGAAAAATCAGTGGACAGGGCACCAACGGTGTATTGCCCACGTGGCACAATACGAGTGAACGAGACCCACCTCTGACAGCGCTGTGCTCAGCAAGCTTTCACGTCGATCGCAGCTCTCCACTGCAATAAACGAATGCGAATCGCCACGCAACGCTCAGGGTCAAGAGTCCGGGTGGCATCTTGACTTTGGGATTGCCTTTTGAGCTTCCCTGGTAGCTTGCAATGTTCCTTGCTCTATGGCGTGCCCTTTGCTTGCTTTGAGCTGCACATCCTGGCTGTAAGTTCAACCTTGCCTTGCAGAGCGCGCGCGGTGTCAACCCAGAAACACTGGGTCGTTTGAACCCCGTGCTCTGGTGATGCCATGGTATGCCACCTGCCCCCGCGCTCTGGGCTGCTTCAGTCGTGCCTCGAGATCGTCAGACCCGACCGCCCGCCCCAGGAACTACTGAACCTGTTGCGGTGCATTGGCGCGCTGAGCCCGTGGTGATCAGCTCGGGAGCGGTGGGCTGCTTATACTGCAGAGCGACGTGCGCGCGCGGCGCGCTGGCAGCTCTGCGAGCCGAACCGGCGACGGAGGGCTGCCGCAAGCGCGCGCGCGTCTGCAATCGGTTCCCGCCTTCACCCTTCCTTCCTTCCCCGGAAGCACGATTGAAAACCACCGCCAATTACTCTGGACAACACTCGACGGAAAGCAAAGGCAGCATGGATTCACCTCCTGCGCATGCAACTATCTGCTGAAGTAACGCCCTCACTAAAAAGCCGCAGGCCCTGGGCTGACGTCCCACCGTGTCCCTGCCGTTTGCCTGCCGTACACCTCGCGTGCGTGCCTGCTTGCTTCTGGCTGATGCACTTCGCGCTTCTAACGCTCTTGCAAGAAGAAGGCTCGCTCCGACCGTGCTGCCTCTGCCTCGCTCACGGCGCAGACCGCGGTGCTAGCGCTACTGCAAGAGACCTCATTCCCAGCGTGCGGGCACTCTCACGGCGCACATCGCGCTGGCAGCGCTGTCGAGAGAAATTTCACTCCGAGCTCGCCAGCTCGCTTCTGGTGCACGTCGCTCTCCCAGCGCTGTTGCAAGACAGCTCGCTTTGAGCTTGCAGGTTCGCGGCCGACTCACATCGCGTTGCCAGCGTCGTCGGCACTACAAGCGTGCCGTCTCGCGTCCGGTGCACTTCCCGTTGGAATAACTGCAAGCTTTGTTGCAAGCGTTATCGGCAGGGCGTTCATTCCGAACGAGTCGGCTCGGGGCCGACGCACATCGCATTACCAACGTTACTGCCAGAGCCAGCTTTGTTGGGAAAAAAACATGCCAAGCGTGCCTGTCCGCTAACAGCGCGCATCGCGTTGCCAACGCTGTCGGCAGGAAGATCACTCTGAGCGTGCCGAGCACATCGCGTTGCCAACGAATGCGGCAGGAAACTCAGTCTGAGCCGAATCATACCTAATCCTATGCAAAGTCGCTGCCCACAGAACAAATGACATCATAGTGAGGGAGATTTGGGAATGATATTCTTCTGCATGCATAACACATGGATATGGTGCCTTTCACCACGCTGCATTTCATCACATGTCGCCCCAATGTGCCTATGGCTCCTTGGTTCTCCGCCAGCTCCTTCCTCACTAACATGCTGGCCTTCCTGAGATCTGCAAGGCTCGTCTTGAGATCTGCGACCTCGAGGAAAATCAAGCAGAGGAGGGACAGCAGAAGGAAGGGGAGCAGAAGCAAGAGGAGACGCTCGACTGGACGCCATACGCTTCAAGCACGGAGACAATGGATCATAACCCTGGCAGAAGTACGAGATGAACTGACGCCAATACATGGGCGGATTATTACAAAGCGAGGGACGAGAAAGCGCCGCGTGGGATATCGAAACTCCTCTGTTTGGGGCCCAGGGTCGCACTTGGTCATGTTAACGCGGCAGCCGCCGTATCAGCGAAACCCGCATTGCGCGATGCGTTGCCCTTGGAAGAGCGCCGAGAACAAGGATGCAGAGGCATGTGCCGTACATTCGCCTAGTCTTCGCGGTATCTCACCACACCGTCGGAATGGTCTACTCCAGAAGCGCATGACCCATCACTGGCTGGCGCCCTGCCTACCAAGCCTGGGTTCCTGGGAATGCTGTGCATGATGCTCGCTGTCCAACGCGCCTTCTGATCATGGATCAGTTTGCTCGTAACACCAGAACTTGAGTATGACTTCCCGCACTAGATGTAAGCAACACACGGACGGCCTATCACGCAGTCGCGTTCAGCAAGAAAAGCGCGGTTGAAACTGATGCCAGACGCTGGGCCAAGGGATATTGAGTATCAGTGGGTGCTGGCCTTTGGCCAGTGTTGAGCTGGCCATACCTAGGTCATCACTCCAGCGACCCTTGCGCACACAAACCTCAACACAAAAACCACAAATCACCCCCACAAGTTGAGGGGTGATGCACGAATGGCTACGCTCTCCATCCCACACTAACATCCAATCAGTGGCGACACATCAGGAAACGGCGGCTAGCTGTCCTGCCAGGATCAGAAGACAGCACTGGAGGCTACCGAGGAGAAGCAAGGAGCACTGGAGGCTAACGACGGGCTCTCTGGAGAACTGAAGGCCAACGACGAGCAAGCACAGCGAAGAGGCACCGGCCAGGGGGTGTGCTTCAGCAGCAGAGTAGCAGCAAAAACTCAGAGACGATCGATCGACGCTCAGCGACAAAGACTGTGCGATGAGCGGGTCGGAAACAGACACGAGCAGCTCGACACTGCCAACAGCGCGGGTTAGACAGAGGCCACGGAGCACAATGCGGCATGTAGGAGGATGTGGCGCAAGTACCCGCAGACTCCTCCTCCTCCTCATCATCATCCTCATCATCATCCTCTTCGTCACGATGATCCTCCTCCCCTCAGGTTCCTCAACCAGCTTCTCTTTCAATTCGCCCCCAGGTGGGGGCGGCCCAACTGGGAAACGAAGAGCACGTCGAGAAGATCGCAGGGGGGATCGAGACACCGCTTGAGATCACACTGTAGCAGAAGGTCTTTGCTAGGCCGAGTGGCACAGCGACTTCCCTGCTCAAAGGAGGGAGTGGCCTCCGCCGCGCTCTCGGCAGTCCCCTTCCTGAGAGCCTCGTTCTCGGCCTGGGCATCAGCCAGCTGTGCGGTGAGCCTCTGCACCTGCGCCTGCAGCTGGCCGGCGGCCTTGGCGGCGCTCGCCTCCTGGCGGGCGCGGCGCATTCTCCGCCCTCCGGCAAACCCCGAAATCTCTGCCTTGCGAGCGTCGCCAAGGGGGTGAAAGGACCTGCGGCCACGTGGAAGCATGGCCCACCATCCTCCTCCTCCTCCTCCTCCTCCTCCTCCTCCTCCTCCACTCCCTCCTCATCATTCTCCTCCTCCTCCTCCTCCTCCTCCTCCTCCTCCCCCTCCCCCCCCCTCCCCCTCCCCCTCCCCCTCCCCCTCCCCTCCCCCTCCTCCTCCTCCTCCCTCTCCTCCTCCTCCTCCTCCCCTTCTTCTTCTTCTTCGTCTGCCCTGCTTCGGCGGCCAGCCCAGGAGGGGAAGCGAGAAGGGGAGGCACAAAGACATACTAGTACTGTACGTCCTCCTTAGAGACGCGCGTCCGACCCGAACAGATGGTATACCCATCTTGTAGTAGATCGCTTCCCGAGCGGTGTGGCCAGAAAGCGCCCGCCACAGCGCATATACGCTCAGGTTTCTCAGTGCGCGCGTCGCCCCTGGGGAGGCGACGCACATATAGTATAGGTATGTTGGGGTGACGCTGGCGGGACGTTGATGCTGGAGGGCTGCCACGTGGTGAGCGTGTCGCGCCGAAGCGTGGTGGGTCATAGCCGGCGGAGCGACACGCTGAGCACGGAGTCCCGACCGCATCGCGAAGCCCCCGCACACTTCTCTCTTGGACATGCCCGAGGTCCTGCCGCTCGAGCTGGAGGTCGGCGCGCGAGATGCGCCGCTCGAGGTCGTCCACCTGTGCGCCAGGCCCGCCCGTCATCCCGGCCACTCCTCTGCATTCCTTGCCCTGCACCGCCGGCCGTGCGTTGGCAATTCCGGAGGGTTCGCCTCCGGGATGGACACTGGGCACGGACACTGGGGATGAGCACTGGGGACGAACACTGGGGATGGACACTGGGGATGAACACTGGGGATGGACTCTGGGGATCGTCACTGGGGATGAACACTGGGGATGGACTCTGGGGAGTGGCACTGGGGATGGACACTGCGATGGACACAGGGGATGGGCACCCCTCTCTCTTATCCGCAGCTGCGGGGGACTGGGTATTTCCATCCCCTCCTCCGCCCTTCTCACCCCCCGCCCAAGATGGAACCAGGTAAACTGCCCCGTTTCCCCCCTTATCTGGAGGAAGCCGTGCAAGCGGCTACCCCAATTCAGCACGTAGTGTGTAGGTCTTCAGAGAGCGGTACCTTCCCGAGCCTAACAAACACTAAACTGCTTCGAAACAGTGAACGCAATGACGTTGCGGCGAAAGCGGGTCGGGCCTGATGTTGCCAGCGCCTACGATGTAATGATGGGTTTCCCTTCCGTCCGGTAATCTCTGTGTGCCAGACATGGGTGGCATACAGCTGGCACTGTCAAAGAAACAAGAGCCTGGAGGCGAGGTGAGCTGGGCTAGCTCATCGCATGCTGGTATCACAAACGCGGCCACTTCGTGAGAAAACTACGTGAACCCGAAGCGGCAGTGGAGCATGTACGATACAACCTGGCACAGGCGCGTGCACGATGCATACACGAAGGTTATACTGTCAGAGGACGCGAGTTGGAAACACCCCAGAAGGGAAAGGCCGAGCAACACGTGCGCTCGGGTTCGAACAACCTTCGGCTGCGCGCCCATCCTGAAGAGTGCAACCATGGCGGAGAACCGCACCTGGTGGCGCCAGCCCACCTGACCTGCAGAAAAGGAGCCAGGCACTACAACACCCTCGGGCAAGCGCCTACACTGGTACGGCAGTACGGCATACGGAGTGGGAACCATGAATATTATGCTTCCAACTCTGCATCGACGGAGCGTGCGCTACACCAAACTAGTTGCAGTTGCTCTGGGTGGCCCCTTGAACACGTAGCAAATACGCCTGGCGAGCTCCCATGCCCTAAGCCATACCACTAGCCCTATAGGGCGTGAGTTGTTTGGGGCGTTTCCTCTTCCAGCACTTCGTTTTCCCCGTCGGGGAGGGGCTCACCACTGTTCCACATGAATATACACCCCCTCCCCCACCCGGCCCGCGCCCAACCTGGAACCATGCCGACTCCATGCGGGCCCGCCCCCCACCATCCCTGCCAAAAAACAATACAAACCGCACTCCACCTCCACATTTGGAGCAGGCGCGGCCAACCCGATGCGCACCCCCCACCATTCCTGTCAAAAAAACAATGCAAAGTACACTTTGGGGCAAAGTCTTGAGTCATACGTGAGGCCCGCGAGCACTTTGTATTGGTTTTGACCGGCACGGCGGGGGTGTCAGCATATTCCCTGCTGTGCGCAGGGCGACCATCCCTAAAAAAACAATACAACATGCACCTCGCGGCTAATTCTGGATCATGCGCGGCCCTCCCGCGATCACTGTCAAGTGATTTTTGACAGGAACGGCGGGGGTGGTGGCACGTGGCCTGCTGTGCGCAGGCCCACCAGACACAATGACGGGCTTGGTTTTCGACAAGGATGGCGGGCGCCGACATGTTTCCCGATGTGTGCTGTCACGTGCGCAGGCGTACCTGACGCACTCTGCACGTGCCCCGAACGTGGCGCACCTGGCGTGGCTGGAGTGTGCGGCACACCTGGCGCACTCGGAGCACGTGGCGCATCTGGCGCACCAGGCGTGCCTGGCACGCTCGGGCCCCAAGGGTGCCTGGCGCGCGTGGCGCCCCTGGCACGCGTGGAGCACCTCGCCCAAGCGTCGCGTACCTGATGTCAGTATTGGTTCCCAGTAGCCGTCCATCCAAAGACGACCACTGAACATGCTCAGGCTCGGGTGTTACTTATGTGTTGGGAGGGCGGGTGGGAGTGAGCTAGACGGCTTGCGGGCGGGTGGGTAGCTTGACCCCTCCCCATACCCTCTCCCCCTGGACCTGGGCGCGGGGTTCGGCGACCCATTGGAGAGGCCAAGAAAGCCTCAACGAGAAGGCAACAATTATTGATGTTACGTGGGTATTGGGCTCATGTTGAACTCTTGCGGGGGGCTGTAAGATCGATCTCCTCCAAGATGGCCCCAAGACGGCACCCGAGGATCCCAAGAGGGCGCCCAGGAGGCCCCAAGAGGGCCTCCAAGAGGTCCTCAGGAGGCCCCCAAGAGACCCCCAAGAGGCCCCAAGAGGCCCCAAGAGGCTCCAAGAGGCTCCCCCGAGGCACCCAAGACGCTCTAAGAGGCCCCCAGGACCGCCAAGAGACCCCCATGACGCCCCAAGAGGACTTACATAATCTTTCAAGAACATCCGAAGAGACTCCGAGAGGCATCCAAGAGGCGTCTGGCCATTATGCTCGCTCTCATCCTCCTCTTCCTCCTCATCCTCCTCTTCCTCCTCCTCCTCATCCTCCTCCTCCCCCCCCATCCATCTCCTCCTCCTCCTCCTCCTCCTCCTCCTCCTCCTCCTCCTCCTCCTCCTCCACATGTTCCTCCACATGTCCCTCCTCGACCCTCCTCCGTCCCCCCTCTCCCCCTCCCCTTCCTCCTCCGAGTCCGCATCTGTCATCCCCCTCTTGGGGTATGACAGCTCCCCCAACCCCTCATTCCTCTGCATGCCCATGAGCTTCCGCGGTCAGGTGTCTGAGCGCAGCACGCGGCGGCGTGTGGTATGTTAGCACCTTGGCTCCCAAAATGGAAACGCTGCTCTCAAACGTACACGCAGGTGCAACGAATATAATGTTGCACATTAGCCACTTATGGTTCTGAACTCTACTAAGACCGAACACGTCTTGTCCTGTGATGAGTGCTTGTCGATATGTGTTTGCACAAAACGTTCGAACCAGAACGAAAGATACTTCCTTTCATACGACGGGGAGAAACAATTAGTGGACATTCCCCCGCTCCCCCAAACTCAAAGTTGGCGCGTTCTGGGAAACTGCGGCCGAAGTGCAACTCATCAGACCCACCGCCAACTTTGAACACTGGGAGAAAGGGGAGGCGTTGACCGATGCATGTGGCATGCGTGTTCGCTGTGTCTTGTCCGAGGCCTGCACCTCATGCTCATCCTCCTCCTCCTCCCGCTCCTCCTTCCCCCCCTCCTCCTCCTCGTCCTCCTCCTCCTCCTCCTCATCCTCCTCTTCCTCTTCCTCTTCCTCTTCCAACTCACACGCTCGCTCCGTTCTCCCTCTGCCCAGGGCCGCGCAGGGTGCACGGCATTCTCAGAGAAATGTCGACTGAGCTCTACGTTACCGAACCCCCAAGGGGCGCAAGCCTGTGACATATTCTGCCCGACGGCTGCTGTGTGTCGTGTGTGGTTGTTGCTTCTCGTCGCAAGCGCGGGGAAATTCATCCCTGGGGACCGGCAACAAAGGAACAGCCCCAGTGCGCAAATTGTAGCTTGACGCATGATAGCGTCCAAATGCTGTCCCGCAAGCCTGATTCAAAGTGAACTGCCTGCAACTCCTCCTTCTCGCCTAGAATCAGTGACATGACCTGTATATATGCATCGGGTCGCGCAAAGACAATATAACTATGAGATTGGGACATCCATGAGCACAAATAGCTTCACACTTACAGTCTTCACCATACCTGCTACTGACACGTTAAGTTATGACAGAGGTGAACTTAAACTTGTGGACTCTAGTCCGCCAGCAAGGCTTCAACTTAAGATTCAAGTATGACGTAATCCGCCATCGTGCCTTCAGCAGGTAGTGGAGTGCCCCAAGGCTCGCACAGTCGTAAAATTCGAAGGCTGCAGGCTCTCGAGTGCTCTTGGGTGCTCCCGGGTGTGTCGCGTCAGCCTCTAGGACGGCGAACCCGCCCAGACGAACCTGCAGGGGATCGCGAGAACATCAGCTGGGCAACAAAATACACGACAGCCCCAAACGTAAGCGAGCAGCGTCAGAAGCAGCGTACGCAGTCCGACGCAAGCACTCCGTCCTGCATTGTGCCACTCGTCATAGTTCGCCTCCTCCTGTCTTTCACGTTTCTGCTATTATTCCTGCTCATGATTCTCCTCCTCCTCCTCATCATCATCATCATCATCATCAGCATCATCATCATCATCATCATCATCATCATCATCATCAGCATCATCATCATCATCCTGGGACTCCTCCTCCTCCTCCTCCTCCTCCTCCTCCTCCGGCTCCTTCTTTGATCGATCTCCTCCTAGATGGCCCCAAGACGGCCCCCGAGGCTCCCAGGAGGGCGCCCAGGAGGCCCAAGAGGGCCTCCAAGAGGTCCTCAAGAGGCCCCCAAGAGACCCCCAAGAGACCCCCAAGAGACCCCAAGAGGCTCCAAGAGGCTCCCCCGAGGCACACAAGACGCTCTAAGAGGCCCCCGGGACCGCCAAAAGACCCACATGACGCCCCATAAGGACTCACAGAAGCTTTCAGGAACATCCGAAGAGACTCCGAGAGGCATCCAAGAGGCGTCTGTCCATTCTGCTCGCTCTCATCCTCCTCCTCTTCCTCCTCCTCCTCCTCCTCTTCCTCATCCTCATCCTCATCATCCTCCTTCTCCTCCACCCCCCCTCCTCTTCGGCTTCCTGCTCCCCCTCCTCCTCCTCCTCCTCCTCCTCCTCCTCCTCCTCCTCCTCTACCGACTCCTCCTTCAACTCTTCATTCTCCTCGATCTCCCCATCTTGATCCTGTGACTCTTCTTTGCCCTCCTCACCCTCCTCCGCGGCGCCTGCTTGCGCAGATCGCGATTCAGCTCCTTAGCGCTGGCCAACAGCTGCTTGGTGCTCTCGATCTCCTTCGTGGCCTCGTACCAGCAAGTAACCCAGAGCCAGGGCACCGAGAGGAAACAGTGAATATGAGCCTGCATGGTCTAATTACCCTGTCAAATCGAAGACGTGAGCAGAAAAAGGAGGCAATCGAATGTGCACCGTCGAAAGCGGAATGCCAGAACGAAGTGCTTGAAACTACCATCGAAAGAAACATTGATGACCTGAGCACGACCTGACGCTTTGGGCACAAGCCCTCAGACTCTCTGGAACACTCGCTGTCTGCAAAGCCTCATACGACTGCTGTGAGCACCGAGAACCACGTGAGCGTGGAGCGTGCAGCCAGTGGCCCGCCTGCCCCGTCCAATTTCTCACCCCCGTTTGGCCCGCCAGGGCGATGAGGCGGGAAAGCTCTCCCTGGAGTGGTGGGCAGGAAGTTCGAGGGCGGGGCGCGCGCGATCGAGAGCCACCGACGAGGCGCTGACGAGGTCAGCGCGAGAGGGAGGTCGGGAACAAGAGCACGCCCGAAGGCCCGACGCGAGGCCCCTGCCCGAGCGATTGCGAGCCGGCACGGCGTCGGCCCGAAGCCGAGCCCGAGCCATGCCTGCCTGAACGGAGGGGAAGACGCAGGCAGCGCAGACCGTGGCACGGATCACGGGACGCCCGGCTCGGACGGGGCAGTCGAAGGCGTCCAGTCCTCGAGGCGCTCAGAGAAAGAGCACGGGCGCGCGGCAGTTCGGGCCCAAGGCTCCCTCTCGGAGCGAGCCTGGGGCGGAGGCCAGGGGATGAGGAGGAGGAGGAGGGGGGGGGAGACGAGACGAGACGAGACCGCAGTTCCCGCACGGAGGTGCTACCCTCTGATAAGCAGGCGGGAGGGGCCGTAGCCCTGAGGGACTCTGACCTGCTTCCGCATGATGTTGCCTTTGAGCGAATACCATGCTCTGCCGGGGCGAGCATCATGCTCAGCCAGAGATGACTGATGGGGAGGAGGAGGACGCAGAGGAGAGCGACCATCCAAACTCGACTCTACGCCGCGGCGTCTGCGACGCGCATCGACAGGGCGCCAAGCAAGCTGGGAACGCATGGCTGCCCTCCTGCACGCACGCACGCCAATCGTCCTGGGGCGGCTGTCAAAACTGGATCATGAAGGAGGCCCAGGAAAGCTAATGAACTATGGCGGGAGCAGCACTGTAAAGGCGCACCATAGATCAGACATCGGAAAGCCCAATGATGCGCGACGAAGAGCATCATACTGGCCAGGTATCGCCACCCAGATAGACATGAATCACTCCTGGGCCGTGGTCTTTGCAATCAAAACGCGCTGGCGCGGAGATTTGCGGCCAGCGGGCGCGAAGGAGTCCAGCCCGCGCTGGCACTGCGCGTTGATGTTCCCGTGGCAAGTGGCAAGCGCATACGCGTCGAGGATCTACGAGAGGTGATCGCTTCTGGCGGCGGCCGAGCTGGTGAAGAGAGCCACATTCTTGCCGAAGTGGGCGTCCGCTAGATGGCGACCATAGGCTCAAATTACTCCTCTGGACCCCGCGCATATCCACGGTCACCGATACTTGGGCGCACCAGAGTCGGGTAAGGGAGTGGCAGCTTTCTTGCCGACGGGCGGCCCGGCCAGAGATCTTCTCGGGGAAAAGCTGACAGAATTCGTCAGCGATGGACTCGTGGAGCATGATCAGATTGGCTGCCGTGCAGCGCTGCCTGATGAAAGGCAATGCCGCTGCCATAGCGCGCTCAGTCGTGGCCACGCCGAGGTCGGCGTCTGGCAGCACGACGCCCAGATGCTTCGCACCCAGCAGCGGGGGGCTGCGCAGGCGATGGCCGGCTGAGGGTGTTCCTTGGCGAGCGGGTGGGCCGCCTTGGAGGAGCCAGCAAGTGCGAGCCATCCCACGAGCAGCGAGTGGCTGCCCCAGCGATAGGATGCTCCGACGGCCAGGTCGTGTCTAGCTGCACACGGAAAGTGGGGATCGGACAGCAGAACTGCTGCGCAGGGGATCCTGCAGCGCACGATCCTCCCACCGTGCCATACCTGCGGCAGGCAGCCCCAGGACCCAATGCCCCGTGCGCGTGGTGGGCGGCGGGGGTACTTCGCCTGGGCCCCGCCACGAAGCTCACGCCGCCCCTGGGGAAGCACTCCGCGCCAACCCCCTCCGTGGTGAGTACGTGGGCCAGGAATGAGGCGCAGTAACTGACTCAAGACGTGGAGGATTTTGCTGTCATGCGCGGCCCACCACTCTGCTATGCTGGGATGTGGCCTCGGTGCTAAGCGCCGCCCCTGGGGAAGACACTCCGCCCAGACCCCCTCCGTGGTGAGTGCGCGGGCCAGGCCTCCCAGGGCATGCAATGTATGACCGAGAAGTTGTCGCAGAGGAGCGCCAGCAGGAGAGCGACGTGAGTATCGTCGGGGGGGGATCCGCTGGTCCGAATCAAATCCGCAGCCGTGCCCTCGAGGCACGAGCTGGAGGGTCCTCAGGTCCTGGCAGGCCCAAACACGGCCCAAGAAGCCTCAGAGATGCCCCAAGAGAGCCCGAAGAACCTTTCCAAGAGGAACCCGAGAGGATAGCCTGTGGTTGTTGCATGTTTGGGGGGGTCTCCATTTCTCGAGCTTCCGACGCTCCAAGACGTCCCAAGAGGCTCCCAAGACCGCAACCAAACGGCCCCAGATGCCCTCAAGAGGGCCCCAAGATGGCCCAAGAGGGGCCCAAGAGGGGGAACACGAACCGAAAATCCGAGCCCTCCGCCCCAAGAGGCACCCAGGACCCAAGAGGCCACCAAGAGGCCCGAAGATACCAAAGGGGCCCCCAGAGGCTTCAGAACTGCTTCCAGGAGGCCCCCGAAAGGCCTCGACGAGATCACAACGAACATCCAAGAGGCCTCAGACCCACAACCCAGCCACGATGGCGGGACGGGCCGAAGGCCATTAAATAGGTTGAGCAGCAGCAGCAGCAGAAACAGGCCACCCTACCACTGGAATGACGCTGGGACAAGTAGCACCAATCGCCCCTGCTGTAGTCCAAGAACACAGAGCAAACGGTCACACCGAGCTGGCACGCTGCAAAACCTACGCTCTGTGTCGTTCGCTCGGTGCGGCCCCGCATGTGATCCACACCGACTTTCGCACTCACCCTGGGCAGGCGACCCCAGGATTTTGGCTGCTCATTCTGGCGACCATCCTGGAGCCACTCGCTCCACTCGTGCGTCGAAGCTGCGTCGAACGTCCGTCGATTCTAGTCGATCTTGAGTCGAACCCGAGCCGAACCCGAATCGAACCCGTGTCCAGCCTGTGTCGAACTTGAGTCGAACCTGAGTCGAACAGATCCATGATGCAGGCCCTAGAAAAGCGCCCCAAAACGAGCATCGGACCAGCATGTCGGTGGACCGCGTAAACCTCGTGCGATCCCGGCGCAGCCGGCACGCGAGCGGGGGGCACTCGCAGAGCGCAGGGTGGCGCACGCTGCCACGCGCGGGTGGCCGCCACACGGCACGCCGAGGACCTCCGGCTTTCCGGTCGTGGCCCCGGTCGTGGCCCCGTGGCCTTCCCTCGTGCTCGACCTGCCCTTTTGCACCGGCCCTGCAGGCGTGCTGCAGCGGACGTCTGCGTGGAGAGCTGCGTGGATGCTTGCCCGAAGCGGCGAGCGAAGAACGAAGTGCATTTCGCGTGGATTCTCTCTGGTCTTCATCCGTGGCCCCGGACGAGACCTCGTGCCCTTCCCTCGTGTCATGTTGCTCCCATCGTACTTACGGACCAAATCCCAAAAATGATTTCGAGCTCGAGGACCACATGTCCCCAAAACAGTAGTCGAGGCTCAGTGATACACTCTTCGTATGCATTCGCACATGTTCTGCCGATGCGCCGTCTGGGCGCGGCTCTTTCTGTCTGTCTGTCAGAAAAATGTCGCAACAGTGTCGAAAGAGTATCGCCACCCAGAGCCCGACACTTGAAAACACTCCGGTTGTGGTACTTTCTTGGTGCTCGAAAATATTTCTGGTGATCAAGGCTAAAGTAGGTCGGAACATCATAACCCTCGTGCTTGACTTGATGGCGCCAGATCTGGAGATGCTCGGGTAAAGACGGGCATTTTTCGAAAGGGGCGAAAGGTACTTGCTCAGCACTAGGTCGCTGGAAGCATCGACGTGGACGCTGTTGATGCTGGCCCGATCGTGGTGTGAAGTATGAGCGATGCTCGTTGGAACGATAAAGGCCAGAACGACTTGGGCAACAAAATTTGGGCGAGAATGGCTACGGACAAGGAGGATAAAGAGGAGGAGAAGAGGAAAGAGGATGGGGGCAACGAGTACGCGTACCGACTTCAGGAAACAAGGAGAGCGACGAAGAAGTCGTAACGAGGCGGGTGTGCGGAAGGAAGCGAGGAGGACATCAACGCAGGGCACGGCGGGAGAGATCACGTGAGGAAAATGCACAGCCAAGCCTCCACAGGCCCAGTTTAGGCCCCACTATCTGAACCCAACTTGGGCCTGTGGTGGCTTGTCGTGGCGGACCCATTTCCTCTCGTGGATCGCCTCGCTCGCAGCTTGACCCGAAGTCGGCAATCCCACAGCGGCATGCACTCAGAAGCCCAAGCGAAGCGTCCGAGGGAAGTGGACGGGGTGGTGGCGTAGAGAAGCATGGAAGCGCGCAAAGCCAGCCTGCGCCGACACGCGCGGGTTCTCAAGGTCTTCATCCGAGAGGTTGTCCGGATCGTAGCCAAGAGACTGCAGTATTGCTCGTAATCGCGCAACCTGCAATTCCCGCTTGGCCCCATCCCGAATCTGCCGCCCTTGTCGCCAATTGAACATGAGACTTGACGAAGAGGCTGTCAGATCGGCAGGACGGAAAGTAGGAGCGTTGCTTGAGATGAGTTCAGGATAAACCAGGCAAGCAAAAACCTTGATACCGACGAACCACGAACTTCTAACTCAGCCAGGCCATGACATCTTGTAACTGGCACAATCCCTTGTCATCACATCCGACTGTGCCGACTGTGCTTACACATGCAGAGCTGGACTTGATCAGTTAGTCAACCAAGCGCGTCTCATGGCTCTACCTCTCATGTTTCGGCCCAAGTCATGGCACTGATCGGAGCGAGGCCATGCGCACTGAACTGCCAAAAAGCAATGACGTTCTTCAGGTGAGCGTTGAGTGTGTTCGTGGAATTCCGCGAACGACGAAGGCTAAACTCACCTCGCGAGTGGCCACTCCTGGTGTAAGCAGCATTCACGCAAAAAGGCGCGTGCATACACGCGCTAAGTCTACGGAGAAAGATCACGGAGGTCGAGAGCCTCCGCTGTCTCACGCACGTGCATCAAATCATCCCAACGCCTGGCTGCACACAACAATTTGTTACCATCATCGGCGAGTCATGGGCCGTTGTGTGTGCTACGTAACGTTCACAATGTGGGCGCATGTCGAAACAATCGGACAACTAGTATCCCTGCACAAGCAAAATCGCGGGCCCAGCGCCGCTTCTTCATCCGCCGACCCCTTGTGGGTCTCTAGGCGTGTGAGATTCTGCCCTCCCATTATCCCAGACCAGATAGTAGACCACCCACGAGTTCCCCAACACCGCCTCTAAACGGCCCACAGGGCCCGCAATAGAGCTTCAAGGCGGTCCAAAAGCCAACCCAGACGGTCCCACAATGCTCCAAACCGGCCCACGACGCCACCAGGAGCGCCCCAAGATGCCCCCAGGAGGCCTTCGGAAGCCCTTCACACACACACACACACTAAGACCCCTCCACGAGGCTTCCGGGGGCGCTCAAACAGTCTCCAAGAAGCTTCAAACCTGCCTTTGAAAAGCCCCCGATCGTGCCGAGCTCCGAGTAGGGAGAGACAGAAGAAAGAGGAGGGACGACGAGGATAAGAACATGACTTCTATCGGCAGCACCACACGTCCGTGAGCTGGGAGGACTCAAGCGGTCAGAAAATCTGATGGCACTGCCACTTCGTGACCTGGCGACACTACCGACGTGTGTGCGTAACACATCAGGACTGGAAACGTGAGGAACCCACGCTTCTGCAACACGCTCCTGACCTGGAAAGATAACCATCTGGAGGCTATGGTATACCAGGGATCGTGGCAGTTTGGACTACGAACGTGGGCCACACTGAAGCGAGAACACGATTCGTGCAGAAATCGTTATGAAGTCTCGAGCGAGACGCCAATCCCAGTAATGCGTCCAGCACCGGCGTCCTCCTCTTGCATGGGCCCTGTTTGGGACTTTCATGCGGCTCTGTTTGCGCAGCCGTTCAAACTAGAGCGTCTCGCAAGCGGAGGGGGAGGAGGAGGAGGAGGAGGAGGAGGAGGAGGAGGAGGAGGAGGAGGAGGAGGAGGAGGAGAGGAGGAGAGGAGGAGGGGGAGGAGGGGGAGGAGGAGGGGGAGGGGGAGGGGGAGAGGAGGAGGAGGAGGAGGAGGAGGGAGGAGGAGGAGGAGGAGGAGGAGGGAGGAGGGCACGAAGCTCGGGTGGAGGAAGCGGAGGAGGAAGAGGAGGAGGACGAGAGGAGGAGGAGGAGGAGGACGAGGAGAAGGAGGAGGAGGACGAGGAGGAGGAGGAGGAGGAAGAGGGTGTCTCGCAAAGAGGCAGGCGAGAGGTGCACCAAGCGTGGCGCAAGCCAGGTGCAGCATGAGGCACGCCGAACCTCACGTGCGACCGCGGTCGGCGATCCAGCTGCGACGAGGCGAGAAATGAAGAAGAACATAGCGACCCCGCCGAGCCATCTCCTCCTAGTCCGTCCTCACATCCTCCTCCTCCTCCTGTTCCTCCTCCTCCTCCTCCTCATCCTCCTCCTCCTCCTCCTCCTCCTTCCTCCTCCTCCTCCTCGTCCTCCTGGTCCGTCCTCACATCCTCCTCCTCCTCCCTCCTCCTCCTCCTCCTCCTCCCCTCCTCCTCCTCCTCCTGGTCCGTCCTCACATCCTCCTCCTCCTTCTCCTCCTCCTCCTCATCATCCTCCTCCTTCTACTACTTATACTTATTATTGTTATGTTTCTTATTCTTATTCTTCTTATTCTTCGTATTATTATTCTTATTATTCTTCTTATTATTCTTCTTCTTATTCTTCTTCTTCTACGACTACTACTACTAACTACTATACTACTACTACGACTACTACTACTACTACTACTACTACTACTACTACTACTACTACTACTACTACTACTACTGCTACTACTACTACTACTACTACTACGACGACTACGACTACGACTACGACTACAATTACTACGACTACTACTACTACTACTACTGATACTCAGCTTCATCCTCGTCTTCCAAGTCTTGAGCTGCGAGACAGGGAGCGCAGAGGTCGAAATCACCGCGCCAGTTGATGCCGCCTGGATAAGTGCACAAACGCATGCGCACACTCACACGCATGCGCATTCGTAGACGTACGAGAACACATATTCCTGCAAAGATGCGACGCGTGCACTCGGTCTACTAAAGCTCTGATACGAAAACCACGCTGACCTATATCCAGGTGTGCCAAAGCCACCGGTAAGGGTGTGAGAGGCAACCTACGCATAGCCCAACGGCCCAGGGACGCACCACGAAGTTGCACCACGCACTTCAATACGCGAGTGCCTGGAATAATATCGACAACCAGCTCGGAAACTGAAGACCGTCCATACATGCTGCTTATGTAATGTATCATTCATCAGGGAGAACAGGGGCGTGGCGGAGGTGGATGACAAAGGGGGACAAGGGGAGAAAGAGGGGGAGCAGGGGGCAAGGCGCATGGCAAACAGGGCAGAGAGGGAGGGTGAAGCCCCTAGGGGCCTGCTTCTCCAGCTGCAGCTTCTCCTCGGCCATCTCTGCCAACTCTGCCTTCACCCTCCCGAGCTCGGCCAGGCTGCCGTCATCACTGGCCTTCTTCACGGGCCTGTTGGCGGCCTGCGACGCTCGCAGATCACAATCGCCGCCGGCGTCCCTGTCGCAGACGGCACGCCGCCATCCTTCGATCTGTTTCACAACGCATCGGGAACCCAATGACGCGATGCCAACGATTGAGATGCGTCTGGGGAGTCGCAAAGCTGCTCTGCCGCGGGAAAATCACCACCCCCTCCTCCCGGGCGAAAAGCAGAAGCTGGCGCGCTAGTGCGGGTTGTAGTCTCAGGCATCTGGCCGCTCCAATTTTGTTCGATGCGTGGGCCCCAAAGGTCTGGACCACTGCCCTAGGGCCGTCTTTTAGTCCTGAGTCGTTTTTTGACGGTCCCGAGCCCGGCGAGGGCCCCTTTGGGGCCGAAAACAATCAAAAATCAGCTGATCCAATATGTGCTGGAGCGTCGGACCTCTGGGAAGAAGCTGGCGCGCCAGTGCGGGTCATAGCGTCGTGTCTGCCTCGCTCCTCCACGCCGTCGCCCTCGGAAGTCTCACGCGCCTCCGGCGAGCGCCCCGAGGGCCCACCCGCACTGGTCGTCCGCCCCGCCACCGGAGCGGGCGCCACGGGAGCGGGCGGCCAGGGGCGGCCACCAGCCCGGGCACGCCCGACCGCCTCGGGCCCTTCGGGCCCTGCTGGGGCCAGCTGTGCCGAGCACAGGTCGGCGGGCACCTCGCCGAAGCTCCCCCTCTCGGCGTGCGGCTGCCGCCCGGCGGCGAAAGCTCCCCGTCGCGGAAGGCGCGCTCTCGACGCCCTCGCCGCGGCGCGGGCGGCGCGGCCGCCCCGAGCCCGCGGGGCGGGGGCGACGAGAGGCCCTCCGCGGGCCCCAGCCGAGCGGAGAGGCGCCCGGGGCCAGGCCACGTGGCCCCAAGCAGCGTGGGGCCCTACACGCCTCGCCGAGATGCCGTAGAAGACGCACCCCGCACCCCAGGGGTGGGGCGGTCTTCCTCTGGGCTGGGCGCCCACGTGCGGCGGTCGGGGCTCCACCGCCGAAGGCTGGCGCGAGAGCCTCCGCCGCTGCGTCCCCGCCAACAAACCTCCCACGCACCTCCTCCTCCTCCTCCTCCTCCTCCTCCTCCTCCTCCTCCTCCTCCTCCTCTTCCTCCTCCTCCTCATCCTCCTCCTCCTCCTCCTCCTCCTCCTCCTCCTCCTCCTCCTCCTCCTCATCATCATCATCATCATCATCCTCTTCCTGACCCCCTGCCGGCGCCGCGGCCGCCGCCGCCGCCGCCGTCGTTGGCCGTTGCTGCTGCTGTCTTTGTCTCCGCCGCTGTCGCCGGCTGGCGCCGCCGTCGCCGTCGTCCCCCGCGTCGGCGTCGCGCGGCGGCCCATGTGCGGCGGCGTGTCCTTCGCTCCCCGCGGCCCCTTGGTGGGCCCAAGAGGTGCTCTGGCGAGGCCCAGGCGCCGCCGGAGGTGGTCAAAAACCCCTTGTGAAATGCCGAGCGCTTCGCGGGCGAAGCGTTCAGCGTTACGCTTGAGTTCTTGGGCGTTCCCTCGGCGGCCCGTGGTGCCTCTCGGGGCTCTTTTGCGGGCTTCCTATGGGCCCCTTTCCCTTCGTCTCTCCCTCCCCCCCTCCCTCTCCCTTCCTGCTCGCCTGCCTCCTCCTCCTCCCTCCTGGCGCTCCCTCCCCCTCCCGTCTTCCCCCCTCCTCCCCCTCTCCATTCCTCCAGGGCCTCGCTGGTCCGGGGAGGATGGCGTGGCGGGTTGGTTCGGGCTGGGCTGGGCTGGGCGCGAGGGTCGCTCCCGCCCGTCCTCGCCGTCGAGGTGCCGCCGCTTGTGCTGGGATGGAAGGACCCCCTTTCAGCGCTGCTCGGTTCCTTCCCACACTCCCGGCAGCACCTTTCACGCGCTCTCTTGCTGTCCAGGCACGTACTCGCAGAGGCGTAGGTTCTGGCAGGCGAGGAACGCATCCCCCCCTGAGCCGCGGGAAGCGTGCGCGCGAGCTCTCCTGAGTGTGCGTCCGGGGGGGCGCTGGCTACGCAGAGGCAAGCCTTCTGGGAGCCCACGTCGAGAGTCGTGAGACCGAGTTCTGGGCCACCCGACCGTGCTGAGACAGGATTGCATCTCCCTTCTCCCTGGGTGACCCCCTCCCCCTCCGTCCTCCAAAGGCCTCGCAGCTGCGCGCTGCGCTGACATGAGGCGGCTGGGGGTCGGGCGGGGGTCCCTGTCGAGGTGGGTTCCCTATGGGTCCCCCTCCCAGGCCTTCCCGCTCCTCGCACTTGTCCCTGGGTGGAGTCGGGCGCCCGTCTCCGGAGCGCAGGGTGGCGAGTCTTCTCAACCCCGCGCCCAAGGGGGGGCACCCCCTCCTCCCGGGAGGGTGCTGCGGAGGCCGCCGTCGGTAGCCAGCTAGGCTAGGTGGCCCCTTCGCTGTCGAGGCCTGCCCGAGGCCTCGACACGCCTGCCCACCTGGGGGCCTCACCAACCAACCAACCAACCTCCTCCTCCTCCCTCCTCCTCCTCCTCCCTTCCTCCTCCTCCTCCTCCTCCTCCTCCTCCTCCTCCTCCTCCTCCTCATCCTCCTCCTCCTCCCCCTCCTCCTCCTCATCCTCTCCTCCTCCTCCTCTTCTCTCCTCCTCCTCCACCTCCTCTCCTCCTCCCCTCCTCCTCCTCCTCCTCCTCTCCTCCTCCTCCTCCTCCTCCTCCTCCTCCTCCTCCTCCTTCTCCTTATCCTCCTCCTCGTCCTCCTCCTCCTCCTCCTCCTCCTCCTCCTCCTCCTCCTCCTTCTCCTCCTCCTCATATTCCTCATCCCCCTCCTCCTCCACCTCTGTCTGCTATTCCGCCTTCTGCGCCCGCGCTTCCGCCTCCGCCTCCGCCTCCGCCTCCACCTCTGCCGCCTCTCCTTCGCCTTATGATTATTGTCTTATGATGAAATGAATCATTAGTCGTGGTAATAGTGCGATTATCATCCTCATCATCATCATCATCATCATCATCATCAGCATCATCATCATCATCATCATCATCATCATCATCATCATCATCATCATCATCATCATCCTCATCCTCATCATCATCATCATCATCATCAGCAGCAGCATCATCAGCATCATCATCATAATCAGCATCATCAGCATCATCATCATTATCATAATCATCATCATCGTCATCATCATCATCAGCATCATCATCATCATCATCTTCATCGTCATCATCATCATCATTATTATTACTAGTGTTACTAGTATGACTGGTTTTGCTATCATTAACAATAGCAGCCTTGGTAGTATTAATAGTATTACGATGTGTGATTGTTGTATTAGTGATATCAGCATTAAAATAATAACTAATATTAGAAGTACGATGGTTATGATTACTACTGCTACTAGTGCTTAAGTACTAGTAAGTATCATTCGTAATATTAGTCATAGCATGCTTCGTAGTAACAATATCATTAGTCGTATTAGTGTCATCACTCTCGTTAGCATGAGTATTACGATTACTACTAATGTCAGTGTCCTTTTTATCTTTCGTAGTAACATTCGTCATATTCGAATGATTAGTATGCTTAGTCTTGTCAGTACGAATATCATGAGTGGTCTGCTTAGTATTCATGTTATTATGGTTTGTCTTATACTTCGTACTGTAGTCCTATACTTCTTAATAATATGGTTATTACTATCATTCTAAATTTCAATAATATGAACAGTATTGATTGAATGATCCGCTTTCTTCGTATTATTCTTCGTATTAGTACGCTTATTCTTCTTCATCATCATCACCAGCAGCAGCATCATAATCGTCATCATCAGCAGCAGCATCATCAGCCACATCATCAACATAATCAGCAGCATCAGCATCATCATCATCAGCATCACCACCATCGTCATCATCGTCATCATCATCGTCATCATCAGCATCATCAGAATCATCATCATAATCATCGTCATCATCAGAATCATCAGCAGCATCATCATCATATTACCATCATCATCATCAGCAGCAGCAGCCATAGCATCACCATCATCATCAGCAGCAGCATCAGTATCAGCATCATCATCAGCATCATCAGCAGCATCATCAGCATCATCGTCATCAGCATCATCAGCATCATCAGCAGCAGCATCATCATCAGCATCATCATCAGGCCTTGTCTTTGTCCTCCAGCTGCTTCCGAAGCTGCTCCAGCTGCCGGTCCATCGACTCCCGAGCCTCGATCATGGCGGCGATCTCCTGTACGAGGAAGAAGGAGAGAAAAAAAAAGGAGGAGGAGTTGGAAGAGGAGGAGGAGGAAGAGGAGGAGCAGAGGAGGAGGAGATGGACTAGCAGCAGCAGCAGCAAAGAGGAAGGCGAGGGAGGCGGAGGGGAGAAGAAGAAGAAGCATGCGGAGGCGGAGCAGGAGCAGGAGCGGGAGCAGGAGCGGGGGCAGGGGCAGGGGCTGGAGCAGGAGCAAGGCAGGGGGAGGGGAGCAGCAGGGCCAAAGAGGGAGGAGGGAGGCGGGAGGGTGGCAGGGAGGGACGAGAAAACGGGGGGGAGGAGAGACAAGAGGAGGAAGGAGGCACGAGGAGGACGCTCACACCTCGGGCAGAAGACCACCTGCACCGCCAGGAAGCATGCACATCCGCAACTCCTGGAGTCCTGCACTTGATCCCCGGGGAGCGGTGGATATATTTTTAGGAGGAGACGGAGGAAGAGGAGGAAGAAGAGGGAGCGCGACCATATGTCACCGCAATGCAAGCCTGTGAGACGCCAGGCAAACCCAGAGCACTGCAGAAGCCGACCTGTAATAGGCAAACTCGTGAAGAGGTTCTGATGCGTTGCCGCCCTTAGGGGGCGGGGGCAAGTGTTCACATCCACACCTCCTCGAGAAAAAATCCCGAGATCCTGGGCACGGCTCTGAGGCGGTGGACATGGGCATGCTCTGGCGGTGGACCCCCCCCCCCCTTCCTCGTCCCTCTCGCGCAGCTGCTGGGTCAGGAGCAGCAGCTGCTCGCCCGCCGCCGAGGCGCCGCGCGTCAGGGCCAGCTCGCGGGAGCAGGGGGGAGGCAGGTCGGCCGGCCCGCCCTGCCTCGAGGAGGGAGCCCATGGCGCGGAAAGGCAGGGGGGCCGGCGGGGGCCGTAGAAGTGAGCTGGGGGAGGGGACGAGGAGGAGGAGGAGGAGGAGGACAAGGAGGAGGAAGAGGAGGAGCTAAACTAGCCTGAAAGAGGAGGAGCAGGAGGAGGAGGAGGAGGAGGAGGAGGGGGAGGACAGGGAGGAGGAGGAGCTAAACTAGCTTGAAAGAGAGGAGGTGGAGGAGGAGGAGGAGGAGGAGGAGGAAGGGGAGGAGGGGGAGGAGGAGGAGTTAAACTAGCCTGAAAGAGGAGGAGGAGGAGGAGGATGGGGGAGGAGGAGGAGATGGGGGGAGGAGGGGAGTTGAACGAGCCTGAAGAGGAGGAGGAGGAGGAGCTAAAGTAGCCTGAAAGAGGAGGAGGAGAGGAGGAGGAGGGGGAGAGGAGGAGGGGGAGGAGGAGGAGTTGAACTAGCTGGAAGAGGAGGAGGAGGAGGAGGAGCTTAAACTAGCTGAAAGAGGAGGGAGGAGGAGGAGGAGGAGGAGGAGGGGAGGAGGAGGAGGGGGGGAGGAGGAGGAGGAGTTGAACTAGCCTGAAAGAGGAGGAAGAGGAGGAGGAGGAGGAGGAGGAGGAGGAGGAGGGGGTGGGCCGTAAAAAAAAGGTGGGTTTGGGGGCCGGCCCTCCGGGGGTGGGTGCAGCCCTCGTGCGGGGGCGCGCAAGCCGGGCCCCCGTCGGCCAGGCATGGGGGTTGCCTTGGACGTGGTCACGGCCTGGCCCCCCTTCCCTTGTCGTGAATAAGCTGTACCTTGTCGTGTTTCAGTTCTCTCTTGTCGTGTTTCAGTCTTCCTAGTCGTGAGAACACCCTAGTTTGGGGGCTATCTTGGACGTGGTCACGGCCTGGCCCCCCTTCCCTTGAAACAAGCACCGTCGGCACCCCCAGGACGCACTCGAGGCACACGAGAGAGAGAGAGAGAGCTGCGTTGCGGCCCCGTCGATGCGGCCGCGGCCCCGGCGATGGCGCTCAAGGTTGCGAGCCGCTGGTGGCCTCGAGTCGTCCGACATTGAACGAACAGCCTTGTCCACCCTGAGCTTATCAGCCCATTCCCTTCTACTCGCGAGGACGCCCGTGGCTGGCTCCGCCTCTCCCTCCCCCACCCCCCACCCCCCCCGTTGGTCACGCCACGATCCGCGCCAGCGCCGTGTGGGAATGAGCCGCTGAAGCCCTCCCGGACGGCGCCGTCGCGAATCGTGGCGTGACCAGCCCCCTCTCGAGGGCACGCGAACATGGATTAGCGATCCATGGATTTGGCGCGCGGTCGCCAAATCCATGGATCGGAGGAGGTGCCGTCCTCAAAATGTGGCCCGTGCCGCCTCGTTCGGCGGCGGAAATCCGCGACGTCCCATGGAGACGGGACCCGTCGCTAATCCACGCCCCCTTGATCCATGTTTGCGATCGCCTGACTCTTTCCTTCGGGAAGGCGTACCCTCCCCCTCCCTCCCTGAGATTCTTTTGGGAGGGGGATCGCGAGCGGGGTCTGGGCGCTCAAGATGGCCCAAGATGGCTCCAAGAGAGCGTCCGATGCTCCAAGATGGCTTCCCAGATGCCAAGAGGCCCAAAAGACCGATCCAAGATGGCTCCAAGTGTTCTCAGAGCCCCCCAAGCTCCCCCCCCCTCAGAGGCAAAAACCCTTCAAACACCTTAGGAAAGTCAATGACGTGTGCCTTCTCCCCTTTTCGCCTCCGAAGACGCAAGAGGTGCCCAAGAAACTCCCCAAACAGCCCCAAGAGCGCCCAAAAGCGCCCCAAGAGTGCCCCAAGCAGGCCCCAAACGGCGAATGTGAGGGCCCCAGAGGGGAGGGGAGACTATGGGCCCCCCCACCCCCTCCATTGATCGATGGCCTCCGAGATGGCCCTACGAGTCCCTCCAGGGCTCCCAAGGGGGCCTTGAGAGAGCTCCAAGATGGCCCCAAGAGGGCACCAAAAGGACCCCAAGACTCCTCAAAAGAGCCGCCCACTAGATGTGTCTCTTCCTCCCATTTCCAGTCAGCTCTCTTGGGCAGCGTTTCTGAAACGGGCTAGTGAGGATATCCGAAGCCTGAAGAATTCATCCGCGACCGTTTCGGCGGCGCCTAGCCTGCTGATCCCACGGCATTTAAGCGCGTCTGTCAAGCGTGAGCTCGCGTGAACACCGCTCCTTGCGGGTGACTCTTGCCACCACGCCCGACCAGTTCCGTGCGCGCTGAAAGCGTATAGGCGCCCGACTCTCCTCGTTGAATGACTTGGGCAAGATCGCGCGCCTCCATAGCCGAAGACTTCACCCATCTTACCCGCGTCCCCTCAGGGCCACGACTTGGCCCGATCCTTTCGAGCAGCGTTGCGCTCTGGGCGGATCTCCGGCGCAAGAGATCCACTGCCCGCGGGTGCCAACGACCCCCTCCGCTCCAGAAACGGAACTCCGGGGCGAGGGCGCCGACGGCGTTGCCATCTCCCCTCGTGCGGATGATCCGCACACGCGCGTGAAGAGGCCAGGGCGACCAGTGTATATACAGTCAAAGCCTTGCAAAAGGGAGGCCAGGGCGAGGAGCGATGCCACCAGTCCTGAGGAAAACGGGTACTGGACCCTGGCGCTCCCCCGGGACCAAATCTTCACCCCGAATGTGGTTGTTCTTCGGTCCTGGGGCCCGGGGAGGAGCCCCGAGAGCCCGAAAACGGGGAAAATCCTCAGGACCTTAGCTGCCCCGATACGCAACACGCAACACGTATCGCATTGATACGGAGCTCAACACGTAGGCTGAAAACGTGGGTCCGACGCGATACCCTCGCCAAAACGAGGTCCAGTACGCGGGGCCAACACGCACCGTATTGACACGGACGTCTCGAACACGGGACGCATTGCGCTTCAAAACGGGCCTATCGAGGCAACTGAGCTCAGGACCGATTCCCCCCAGGCACCGTTCGCTCCACGGCGAGGGGCCCACCCGGCCGACCCGCAGCGCACTTGCCAGGCTCGGCGCGTGCCCGGCGCGGGCGTGGCGTGGCGGGGCCTGCCTCGGAGGACCGGCCTCGGCTCGCGGGCGCTGCTCCGAGGGGGCCGATCCCGCCTCCTGCTCGCCTCTCTCCTGGTCCTCCCTCACATCCTCCTCCTCCTCCTCCCCCTCCTCCTCCTCCTCCTCCTCCTCCTCCTCCTCCTCCTCCTCCTCCTCCTCATCTCCCCAACCGACCACACTGCAGAAGCTGTGTTCTGCACCCCCCTGGGGGGAGCACATCAGCAAAAAGCGTCGTACGATTACCTCAGGAGGCAATTAGCCCATATTAAGAAGGGCGACACTGATCCGCGCCGCCACCTCGTTGGACTAATTTCTTCCTTGATGGCTCCAAGAGGAGCCCCAGGAGAGCCCAAGTTGGTTCCATGAGGGCCCCGAGAGCTTCCGAAATGGCCCCAACAGGGATCCAAGGTGGCCTCAAGAGGCTTCCAGGACGCTCTTAGAGCGAAGGATCCGCGAAGGCATTCATGACTAGCTACTGTAGTCGTCCTATTCCTCCTCCTCCTCTTCCTCCTCCTCCTCCTCCTCCTCCTCCTCCTCCTCCTCCTCCTCCTCCTCCTCCTCCTCCTCCTCCTCCTCCCTATCCTCCCGAGGGGGGCCAGCCGCGTCTTGGGATCAGCTGCTTCTGGAGAGCCTCAGGGGCCTCGCGCACAAGGCCAAACGCAGGGCCACAGGGGGAGCGCGGTGCGCGCCCCACGCAAACGGGTTCGGGACTGGATTATCGAAGAGTCGTCGACTGGGGTGATCCACAAGTCCCTCAGGGAAGCTCCTCGGGAGGAGGAGGAGGAGGAGGAGGAGGAGGAGGAGGACGAGGAGGAGGAGGAGGAGGAGGAGGAGGAGGGGGAGGAAGATGAGGGGGAGGAGGAGGAGGAGGAGGAGGAGAAGGAGGAGGAGGAGGAGGAGGAGGGGCTCGGAGGAGCTCTTCAGCAACGGGACCCGCATGAACAGCCCTAAAGGCGTGACAAGCTCTGTGGCGCACGGGCGAGTTCGACCTGCACGACCACGAGGCACTTTTCGCTGGGGTGCGCGAGGCGGCGGCCACCGATCAGCTGCCGCCTGTAACCATCGAGGATGTCAAAGGAGCGCTCAAGAAGATGAAGGCCAAGGCAGGTATGGGAATAGACCGTCGTACCCCTCTTGATGTTGAGCGACTCCCAGAGTGTGACATCGCCGACTTAGTGAACGTTGTTCTGCAATCGAGGAGCCTTTGACTTGGCCATGGCAGACGCTACTAACCGTGGGGAGAGCAGAGTGATTGGATTGGTTGCCATGCTGTGTCGGGTGTGGAGTCTAGCCAAGTGCTGGACCACGGAGACGGCCCCGTCGTGGGACGCGGCAGTGGTCGGGAATAGTGCTCTCCGTGAGGCGTTCATTCGCGTGCTGGATTGCGAGCTCGCGGTGCTAAGCGGCACAGTTGACACATCCATTCTCGACATCAAGAGTTTCTATCATCAGACCAGGTGACCAGAGCTCATAGATGCTCCTCTCCGTCTCAACTTCCCCACTGTCCTACTATTTCTCGAGCTCCAAATATGTCTCGCTCCGCGTGTACTCTCTCAGCTGGGTTCGTATTCCGGGTGCTTCCAACCCACTTGTAGCATTGTGCAGGGGCTTCGTAATGGTATTCGGTTCGCCCGCTGTACGACGGACGTACTCTGTTTGCAGACGTTGACCGTGGCGAACCCCAGTATGAGTGGGCGTATGCGTATTTAGATTGACGATCTCAGTATGTCGACGATTGGTTCACAAAAGCACGTAAGTATTGGACTCAGCACCAGTGTTTCCTCGGCGGCAGCAGTTTTCAAGGAGCACGACCTCCAGCTCGCGTCTAAGAGTGTGAGCCTTTGCTCGTCTCGTTCGGTCGCCACCTCGGTCGTTAAGAAGTTGACGCAACTCGGCGTCGATGCCTGGGCTTCTCTTCACGCATCTTATCT